CAGAGATGCTGTAAATGCACTCCCCTTCACCCCACATACACTCCTCCCACAAGGACATGGCCTTTGCCTTGTGGACTTCTGTGTGCCTTCTCCAAATTGAGTTTAGCCTTGCAGGTCTACCAGGAGTCCTTTGAAGAGGTTGGCACTGGGCAAGACAGGTGCCCTCACTCTCTCTTCCTTTCCCTCTAAGCCTGCGTGGCGTGGCATGAGTAGCCAGAAGAGAGAATTCTGAAGGGTTCCAAGAGCTGAGGACATGGGGACCCTGGCTGTGGAAGTGCTGTACTGTGATCACCCAGTCTAACTGAGGTAACCTGGTGTGCCCAGTCGTCTGTCTCATCTGCAAGCAGTGAGGCTCTTCCCCTGACCCCACCTGTCCATCAAGCCCACCCAGAAACCTCATGCCCTCAGGAGGTGTCTTCTCTCAGCAAGTGACTGAGAGAGATTCTTGTCTGGAAGTGGAGCCAGGGACCTCAAGTGGCAACTAGTGGACTCCGCAGACTCCCAATGGCTGCTAATGCCCTCTTGTGGTCATCTTTGGAAATGGCAAGGAAGAAATTGCCAAAGAACCAAGGTTGGATTTCTTAGGGATACAAGTAATAACAGTTATCATTACAAAATAATATTGTAACAGTACTTATTGTTATATATTAGTTAACAGTTAACATTTTTGTAGTACTATGGATAGAGCCCAGGGCTCTCTACCACTAAGCTACATCCCCAGCATTATTGTATTTAATTCTAACAGCAACCTGTAATATAAACAATATTTTTTGTTCTCTCTCTCTGTCCTGGGAATTGAACTCTGGGGGAAGCGGGGGCGGCTCAGCTGCTCAACCACTGGGCCACATCCCCAGCCCCTCTTTCTTTCTTTCTTTCTTTCTTTCTATCTGATAAGGTCTCTCTGAGTTGCTTAGGGTCTCACTAAGTTGCTGAGGCTGATTTTGAACTTGTGATCCTTCTGCCTCACCCTTCCAAATTGCTGAGATTATAGGAGTGCAGTACCCACCTGGTTTATCTCTGTTTTGAGGACAGAAAAGTTAAGCTAATTACCCAGCAGGAGAATTTGAGGCCAGCCTGACCCTGTCTCAAAATAAAAAACAAAAGACCTATGGATGTGGTTCAATCCCAAGTGTGTGTGTGTGTGTGTGTGTGTGTGTGTGTGTGTGTGTGTATTTTTTTCTTTTCCTGTCAGGCCAAAACTGAGTTCCATAGGTCAGGTAAAATACAGGACATGAAGTTTGAATTATAATTTTACTTTTTTTTTTTTGGTACCAGGGATTGAACTCAGGACACTCGACCACTGAGCCACATCCCAGCTATTTTGTGTTTTATTTAGAGACAAAGTCTTGTTGAGTTGCTTAGGGCATCCATAAATTGCTGAGGCTGGTGATCCTCCTGTCTCAGTCTCCTGAGCTGCTGGGATTACAGGCATGCACCACCATGCCTGGCTTGAATCATAATTATAATTTCAGGTAAACAATAAATAATTTGTTAACATAAGTATATTGTGTGAAATATTTGGGTAATGCTTCTGTGAACGAATTATTCATTGTTTATCTGAAACTCGAATTTACCTGGCTGTCTGGTATTTGCATTTACTTACTCTGACTCCTCTTATTAACAAGGCACCGCGCCACTTTCTATCCTTACCTTATTGATCCCTCCCAGGAAGCTGATCTTCAGATGCCTCCACACTGCTCCCGCCAGTGTCTTCTGCTATGCCCATTTAGAGAGCTGAAGTGACTCCCTAAAGTTACAGAATAAAACAAGTGGCGGGATTGGAACTGGAGCCAGGCACGGTGGCACAAGCCTGTAATTCCAGCAGCTCAGGAGCCTGAGTCAGGATGATCTCAAGTTCAAAGCCAGCCTCATCAATTTAGTAGGACCCTTTTTCAAAATTTTAAAAATGGGGGCTGGGGATGTGGCTCAAGCGGTAGCGCACTCGCCTGGCATGCGTGCAGCCCGGGTTCGATCCTCAGCACCACATACCAACAAAGATGTTGTGTCCGTCGAGAACTAAGAAAAAATAAATGTTAGAGAATGCATGCTAGGCGAGCGCGCTACCACTTGAGCCACATCCCCAAACCTTGAGTTTTACTTTGAGACAGGTCTCACCAGGTTGCCCAGGCTGGCTGGCCTCGAACTTTTGGGATCTCACTGCCTTGGCCTCTTGAGTCACTGGGGGTAGAGGTGAGTGACTGTGACTGGCTGTGTTTTCCACTTCAACAGGAGAGAGGAGTGGGGGAGTGCCACCAGGGCAATCTTCCTTCATGGTATGATGCCCTCTATCAGTGGGGGCCGTCCTGAGCCAGGAGAGTGGCCGAGTGGAGTACTATGGATAGAGCCCAGGGCTGGGCCCAGCCCCAACTGCTATCTCCAGGAAGCAGGGAAGAGACTGCTCCCAGGCCCAAGGGAATCAGCTGTGCGGCTGGAGCAACTCCTCAGGGACCCCGAGGCTGGAAAAGACTGTTCACCTGCTGCTCTGCGCACTGACAGCTTGGAGCCGGCTGCCTGCCGGGGTTACATCATCTGCAGCTCCATAAGGTCAGAAGGCCCTGGCGGCCAGAAGTTAGCAGAAGGAGTCAAAGAAAGTGGGGCCCAGGGAGTCTCCTCCTCCTCCTCCACGGTGCCTTTGGGAGCATGACATTTCTGTCCCCAGGGAACACCCTTTGCATTTTTCTCTCCTGACTCTGTAGATCTGCTCCCACCCCAGAATACCTGGGCCATTCCTTCACAGATATAAAAACTCCTCCTGTCTTCCCACCCAGACCAACTGGCTTTAAAAAGGCAGCAGCGGGTCAGGGGAGTTTCCAGGCTGAGACCCCTTCTGGGGTGCAGGCTGGGGTGTCCTGATGGCATGTGCCCCAACAGGTTTTTCTCTATCAACCTTGAAATCAGCCTGGAGCCTGCTGGACCTGCCCCCCCAGGAAGCTGGAGCCAGAGGCAGAGCCAGGTCAGAAGCCAGACTTGGACTGGGCTTCTATGGTCCCATCTGGCCCCACAGGGAAAGCAATGCACAAAGCCTCCTGTGTCTTTGGCTGAGCTGTTGAGAGGCTGAGCGGAGCTGCTGGTGTGGGTGAAGGCCCGGTTCCTAGGAGGAGAGATGCTGGGCAGGGAGGTGTTTACAGGGAGACAGGCAGGGAGAGCTGGTCTCCCACGTCTGGGAGGGGCTACAACCCCAGACAACAGCTGGGTTGGTCTGCAGTAGATGTCATCTGACCGGCTGTTCAGCCTGGGATGCCCACGCCCCCTCTCCTCTACCAGGCTACACAGAAGCTGGGGTGCCCACACAGGCAGGAAGGCCACCAGGCCAGAAGGACACCTCGCAGCTGAAGGAGGGGACCTTGTTGACTGCTGGAGGGAGGTAGGAATGTTTTCCTTTCCCAATCTCAGAGTGCCTGCTCTCTAGTCCAGGTACCCATGTCCCCACAAGGACACATACTTTAAATCAAAGTCTGTACCTGGTGACCTAAAGATTCCAGAGTGAGATTCCCAGGGTAAAGGGCAGAAAAGCAGGTAGGCAGCTTTGAAGGTGCTGATGGGGGGTGCGATTAGGACCGAATCCCACCCCGTGCACTCAATAGCGCCACCTCACCTCAACTGCCCTCCACTCCCCCAGGAGAATCCAGCCAGACCATGGGGAAGGGACATGGCCTCAGAAGGGGGCACTGTCCAGACCAAGGATTAAGGAACCTTGGGTCCAACTCTGGGGTCAAGGGAGGGTCTCATCAGTGCTGGTTCCAGCAGTCTCTCTGGTCTTGCTTCCTCAAGGAAGAGGGAAAGGGGAGGAAGGTGGGGGCTTTCCTCTTACCCCTCCCCCACCACTCTGGTCCAGGCTCACACACCTGCTAAGCAGGTTAATTTTTTTTTATTTTCCTGCAGTGAGTGGCCCAGGCTGTAGGTTGAGGGTCATCCAGAGCCCAGGTGGGCCTCAGTTTGCTCCTGTTTCCTTCCCTAGGGCGTCCTATCCTGTGGTACCATGTCCGCGAGCAGCAGGGAGATGGGACCTTCTCTGACCCCGGAGATCCTTAGCCACCTGGGCCTTGCCAATAAGGTAGGAGAGGCGTGGGCCACCATGCCTGCCTGGGAATGGTCTTTAATGTATCAACTCAGGGGCTGTGGGAAGATGGGGCAAAGTGGAGCGTAGGGCCTGTCCTGGGCACTGGGGAGGGGCAGAGGCAGACAGGGGATTCCCACTCCTAATCACTCCATGCTCTTACAGACTGCAGCTTGGGGGACCCTGGGCACACTCAGGACCTTCTTGAGCTTCAGTGTGGACAAAGATGTACAGAGGCTACTGAAAGCCATTACAGGCCAAGGTGAGCCCTTTCCCTCTGCACTTGGGGTTCTTTTAGAAGCCGATCTATGGACCAAGGAGCCAGGAAGGAGGAACTAACAAAGTTCAAGAAATGTTTGTGAAATACTTTAATTCCTGTGTGTCAAGTACCATGCCCTGGTAGGTGTGTCCTACCCATTCTCACAACACCCTGGGAGGGAAGTCTTATTCTTTCCATTTTACAGATGAGGAACTAAGGTTCAAAGAGGTTAAGAGCCCTGCCCAAGGGCATGCAGCGCTTAACAGTGGAGCTAAGGTTCTAAGCTGAGCTGGCCAATCCCAAAAAGCATTTTTTTTTTTTTAAACCACCACATGGGGCCACTTTTGCCTAAATTTGTATCAGATTTACCTGCTGTTTTGGCATTTTATTTGTATCCGTTTTTTAATTATTTATTTTTTAGTTTTAGGTGGACACAATATCTTTATTTTATTTCTATGTGGTGCTGAGGATCAAACCCAGTGCCTCACATATGCTGGGCAAGCGCTTTACCACTGAGCCACCACCCCAGCCCCTATTTGTTATCTTTTGAAAAAAAAAAATTTATTTTTAGTTGTAGATGGACACAATATCTTTATTTTATTTTTTTATTTTTATGTGATTGTGGGGATTAAACCCAGTGCCTTACACATGCTAGGTAAGTTCTCTGCTACAACCTACAACCAGCTACAACCCAGCCCCTGCATCTTCTTTTGAGATCAAGTGGACATACGGGTGATGCAGCCCCTGCCCCTTCCCTTCCTGCCCTTCTTTAGACCTTGTTCTCTCCTCTGGAGAGTGTGGGGACCCCAGCCCTGTGAAGGTCCTCATGCCTAGGTGCATGCTTGTGATCCCAACGACCTGGAAGACTTGATACAGGAAGGTTTCAAGTATGAGGCCAGTCTCACCAATTTAGTGAGACTCTGTCTCGAAATAAAAAAATAAAAAGGGCTGGGGATGTAGTTAAGTGGTAGAGTGCCCGGGATTCAATCTCTGGTACAAAAAGTAAATGCATATATTTTAAAAAACAGGACTGAGGGGCTGGGACTGGGGCTCAGCGGTAGAGTATTCGTCTAACACGTGCAAGGCCCTGGGGTTGTGGCTCAAGTGGGAGAGCACTCACCTGGTGTCTAGTATAAATAAAGACCTTGGTGACAGCCTCCCTTTGGTTCAGGTGTGGATTGTGGTGCCATTGTGGACGTGCTAACCAATCGGAGCAGAGAGCAAAGGCAGCTTATTTCTAGAGCCTTCCAGGAGCGGACCCAACAGGTGAGACGGCACTGACTCCCCCGGAGCAGCGGCCCCAGGGAGGACCCACACAGCAACGGCGCCCAGCCTCCTGGCTTCCAGGGGTGGTGCTTGAAGTCTGAGAGGAAGGCCAGCTAAGTCTTCCCAAACCCACCCACACTTCCGGGGCCTCCCCTGACCCCATGTCTCTGCTGTGGGCACCATCTACTGTAGGCCCTGCTGAAGTCCTTGCAGGCGGCACTCTCTGGGAACCTGGAGAAGATTGTGGTGGCCCTGCTGCAGCCTGCAGCCCAATTTGATGCCCAGGAACTGAGGACAGCCTTGAAGGTACCAAAAAGGACACTTGTGAAGAATGTCAGGAAATTAAAGACAGCACTGAGGAAAGGACAGGGCCATCTGCCTGGCCTTTGTCCACTCCAGAGGGTGGATTTGGAGGCCCCTCTTATGATTCATCACTGACCCTTGGATGGAGAGATGGCCAGCATCTGCCCTCTGCCCCTGTTAGTCTGCCATCCTCATGACATGGCCTGGTCTGAGTGGCCTCCCGATTTCTTGTAGGCCTCAGATTCTGCAGAGGATGTAACCATGGAAATTCTTGCTACCCGAACCCCACCTCAGCTGCAGGAGTGCCTGGCAGCCTACGGGCACCGTAAGAACATGGGAGGGTCCCAAGAACTGGACAGTGACCTGCAGGACAATCCACTTCTACCATGAACCATCTGGAAGCCTGACTGTCCGAGTTTTGTTCCCTTAGGGCCTCCCCTCTCTCTCACACCCCTACTCTGCTGCCAGGGCCTCGGTCTCCCCAGGAGAAAGAACCAGATGTGACCAGGAAAGACAGGGCAGATTCCAGAATCATGACAACTTTAGGCACTGTAACAATCCCCATGGCACCCCTGTCACCCTCCTAGCCCCTTGCTGTCCCTGCCATAACACCACCCCCCTAGCTGAGGGCAGCCTTGGTGTAGCCTGGGGTTAAGATTGGAACTTGCTCTCTAAGTGATAGGTGTCACCTCTCCCAGTAGCTTGCCCTGTTTGGTGTCCCCTGCCTCACCCACTAATTTGTAAAAGCTTTTCCCATCTGCCTCTTGCCACCACCACCCATTGTTTTGCTGCCCCCAGTTTTCCTTTGATGTCTAGTCTTTTGTTCTTACTGCCTCTTCCGACTCTCGCTCCCTGCCCCCCCCCATGCTAGGTGAGCACCACACTTTGTCCCCAGCCCTTGTTGGCCTCATGCCCCTTCCTTCTCCCTCCCTTTCCCGCTTTTTCCCTGCTTTGCATCCTGCCTTGCACACCATCTTTTCCTCATCTCCAGATGTCACTGGAGGGCCAGGCCCTAGCCCTCTTGTTTCCCTCTTCCTTGCTGGCCACCACTCTCATAATGAGTAGATGCCTCCTGCCTGGCAGCTGGTGCTCAGATTGAAGTCAGCGCACAGCTCACAGCCTAGGGAGGCCGTCAGAGTGGTCAGGATGATTTTGTGCCTGACATTTTGAGAACAAGCAGGCATCAAGCTACTTTAAGCAGGAGATGGCAGGGCACAAGGGGTCAGCAATTTGACAGGCACTGTGGCCGTCTACCCTGGGGAATATCAGCAGGAACCAAGAGCTCCTGTCTCCACCCCAGATTTCCAGGTGGAGGCTGAGGACGACATCAAGTCTAAGACCAGTGGCATCTTGCGGGACCTGCTCCTGGCCCTGGCCAAGGTGAGGAGGAATTACACTCATCAGGTCAGGGACAGGCAAGAGCAGGAAGCACTGTGTCATGAGGTGGACAGGAGAGCACCTTAAGGAGGCCAGGGTTTGGCTTCTCAGTCTGAAGATCAGAAGCTGCCTCTCAAGATGGGTGCAGGGGCCCCTGCCTCTAATCCCAGCAACTCAGGAGGCTGAAGCAAGAGGATCCCGAGTTTGAAACCAGCCTCCCTAACTTGGCAAGACTCTCTCTCAAAACAAAAAATAAAAAAGGTTGGGGACATAGCTCAGTGGCAAAGTACCTCTGGGTTTAATCTTCAGGAACAAAGAAAACAAAAACAAACACCTGCCTCTCAAAGAGCCTTCTGAGAACACTTTCTCCTCTAGGGGGGCCGGGAGAGCTACTCTGGAATTATTGACTACAATCTGGCAGAGCAGGATGTCCAGGTGAGCGAGGGGCCGAGGGGTTTTCCCGGCCATGCCCAAGAGAGTCCCTTCACCACGGTGTCTTAGAGCCTGGGACCTGGGACCCACTTGGGGAGGCGCCTGGGACACGGTAGCAAGAGCCTCTTCCCTCGTTTTGACTCTGCCCCCCAGTCCCCTCTCCTGGGCATTGGGTGAGGGATTACTTAATTCCTTAAAGATCAGGATTTTTCCAACTCAGGGAACAGAGTCGTGAGGGCCCCTCTCTTAGCCCGATTCCTTTCTTTTTAAAAAACCATAAATAGAACAATGAATTTATAGTTTAAAAATCACCTTTTCCATCCTTAATCCCATCTCCTTCATGGTACATTCTGGGAACATCATGACTGGCTCCGCTGACCCCTCCAATGACCTGATGCTCCTGCCGCTCCTTCCCCTCCCAGGCGCTGCGGCAGGATGAAGGGCGCAGCACCGAGGGGCCATGGGTCCTAATCCTCACCCAGCGCAACCCCAAACACCTCACCCGAGGTAGGCGGGGGCCTTCTCATCGCCGGCTGCCCTGTCCGTGGGCTGGGGGGTTGGGGGTCCCCCCACCGGCCCCACTTTCTGACTTCCCGCACACCAGTGTTTGAGCAGTACCAGCGGCGCACGGGGCAGGAGCTGGAGGAGGCCGTGCGCACCCGTTTCCGTGGAGAGGCCCGGGCCGCCCTGCTCAGCCTAGGTAGGGAGTGTCCCTGTGTGCAGCGGGGCCTCTGCTGGGCTGGGCCCCCCTGAGCTCCTCCGCCCCCCTGTTCGCTTCCAGCCTCGGTGATCAGGAACACGCCGCTGTACTTTGCTGACAAACTTCACCGAGCCCTCCAGGTGAGAAGTGCTCTCTTTCCTCCCTTTCCACAAAATCTGGGGAGACTCTTCCCGCCAGCTGTTAAGGTGACAGTCTCACATAAACTAGGACTCTACAGTGGGTGTCTTCTCCTGTGTCTACACACCGTCTCATCAAAGGCAGAAGAGAAGGCTGTAGTTAGAACTAAGTTAATTGACCCATAAGAGCACTAAAGCTAAGGTTTGGCCTCATTAATCACCAGGTGATGGATTTCTTTCATACATATATAGTTGTAGATGGACACAATTTCTTTATTTTGTTTATTTTTATGTGGTGCCAGGGATCAAACACCAGTGCCTCAGGCATGCTAGGCAAGTGCTCCACCCCTGAGCCACAGCCCCGATGTCTGATGAATTTACAGACAGTGACTTCCTTATCTAGTATCCACTGCAGTCAGAGGTGATGAAGATAACACTAGCAAGAATAAGACCCAGCATTTCATAGGTGCTCACTGGGTGCCAGAGCCTATTCTGAGTATATAACACATATTTCAATGAATCCCCACAACCATACTCCATCCTTATTCTGTACATGAAAAAAACAAAAGAGGTTAAGTACCTTGCCTAAAGTCACACAGCTAGTAAATCATACAGTCTCCCTATAAAACACTGAATGATATCAGACATTTACTGTCCTGTGTCGACACTTTGTCAGTGATAAGTGCTCTTAGCATCCAGGACCCCCTTTCTCTACACTGGTCAGATTTTGTTCCATATTATTAATGGTGACATTGGTTGGAGTAATTTCACAACAAAATCTACTCATTCTTCACAAATGAACCAGTTCTCCTATAAAAACTGTCCCCCAAAACCTGCATATAAAATGTTTGCACTGGGTGCAATGGCTCACGCTTATAATTCCAGTAACTCAGGAGGCTATGGCAGAAGGGTGGCAAGTTTGAGGCCAGTCTAGGCAGCTTGGTACTGTCTCAACATAAAAAATAAAGGGCTGGGGATATAGCTCAGCGGTTGGTAGAGCATCCCTACAACAGTAGGGGTTAACAAAAATCACCAAGTTGGAGAAAATGTGAAATGTGAAAAAGATAGAAGAGTTCTCATTTTTTTGCCGGGCATGGTGGCACACACCTTCAATCCTAGCAGCTCAGGACATTGAGGCAGGAGGATGGCAAGTTCAAAGCCAGCCTCATCAACTTGGCTAGGCCCTAAGCAACTTAGTGAGACCCTGTCTCAAAATAAAACATAAAAAGGACTGGGGAGGTGGCTCAATGATTAAACACCACTGGGTTCAATCCCTGTTACTACTACTACTAATAGTAGTAGTAGTAGAAGTAGTAGTAGTAATAACTCTCATTTTGGTAGATGAAATAGCTTTCTGTATACTGGTTTAGAAGTTATCATGCCTTGTTGATGACTACTCAAAATATAGTCAAACACTTGCTCTTTTATCCAGAGATTTCCATCTCGACAGTAAATTATTATACTTGACCAAGAAAGCCTGGATCATTATGAGTCAACATCAAGATTCATTTGAAGAGCTATGGTTAGCTGTCTAAAATTTTTGTTATAGCAACAAACTTGTGGGCTGGGGCCATAGCTCTATGACAGAGCACTTGCCAGCATGCACAAGGCTGTGGGTTCAATCCCCACCACCACACTGCCCCCAACAAACAAACAGTAAATTATAGTCCATTTTGAAATACAGGACCCACATTTTTTAATGTAAATGCAAGATTTATCTCAGGATTCTGAAAAGAGTACATGCCCATTTTTTTAATAAAAATTTTTAAAGCATCTTGAAAGTTTTGCTTTTATTTTTGTGGGGTTGGGGATTGAACCCAGGTAGGCAAGCACTGGATCTCTGAGCTACATTCCCAGCCCTTCTGTAAAAATTTAAAAGGGAAAAATTCATTCAGAATAACCTTGTACTTTCTTTCTCCCAAGTATAGGAGATTGAAACCAAGACTTGTGTTTGCTAGGCAAGTGCTCTACCACTGAGCTACATTCCCAATCCTTTTTTAATTTTTAAAAAGTTGAGACAGGGTCTCACTAAATTGCTGAGGATGAACTAAAACTTGTGATTCTCCTGCCTCAACCTCCCCAGGAACTGGGATTATAAGGTATGTGTCACTGCTCCCAGTTCTAGTAAATTTTTTTTTTAATTAGAGATATGTGGAAACATAGACTGTAAAGAATGTTTATTCAGAAAAATGACCTTCAGCAAAGACTGATTTGAGGGCCATTTGGACCAATCTGAACTTAAAAATGAATATTCACAATGACAGTCCTGGGGGATTATGGGATGCCAAGTCTACTCTCAAGTATCAAGTGTAAAGAACACTTGTACACCAAAGAGAATATTTAGTTAAGGAGTGTTTCTTGGTCCAGTTCAACAATTTTGGAGGGACAAAAATTGGAAGAAGGGAAAAATGGATAGTAGAGAGCAACTGACAATCTTTAAGACAATATAAAACTAATAAAGTTAAAATGAAGTAGTCATCAGGTCCACTGATAATTTAAAAATGAGTCCAAATGAAATACAGCAAAATGTTTTCTTTTTCTTTTTCTGATGCCCGGTATTGAACCCGGGTGCACTGAACCACTGAGCCACTTCCCCAGCCCTTTTATAAACAAACAAACAAATTTTATATCTATCTATCTATCTATCTATCTATCTATCTATCTATCTATCTATCTATCTACACACACACACACATATGGGTACACCATTTGTATGGGTACTCCATAACCACACAGAACATGGGGTTCATTTTGCCATCTTTGTACATGTGCATAACCTAATTTGATCAATCTCATTTTTCCTATCCTTTCCCTCCCCTCACCCCAGGGAGCCTTTTCTGGCCTCCCTGATGGACCCTTTGGAGCCGCTCACCACCCAGCTGTGGGGGAGTGGGGCTGTAAGCTAGTGGCAGGGCCAGGAAAGACATAGGGGAGGAAGAAGTATTCATGCTGCCCACTCAGGGGCTGATCATGTTCCATGAGGATGAACAAAGATGACTTCTGCCCCTGCAATAATGTCTACCTCTCTTTTTCCAGGATTCTACCTTACCGCTACTTCCTAAAATAACCTCTCCTGCAGTTCAACTCTCTTTTTCCTTTCTTTTTTTTGGTACTGGGAATTAAACCCAGGGGTGCTTTTACCACTGAGCTACAGCTCCAGTCCTTTTTAGTTTTTATTTCGAGATAGAGTCTCACTAAGTTGCTAAGGGCCTCACTAAGTTGCTGAGGCTGGCCTCAGACTTGTGTTCCTCCTGTCTCAGACTCCTGAGTTGCTGGGAAGACACAGGTGTGCACCACTTCTTGTTAAATCCCTTCTCTTGTGTGTATCTTACAGACTACTCCTTCCCCATCTGTTTCTCCTTTCACCAGGAGTCTGAGCCCAATTACCAAGTCCTGATGCGCATCCTTATCTCTCGAAGTGAGACTGACCTTCTAAGCATCCGAGCTGAGTTCAAGAAGAAATTTGGAAAGTCCCTCTATTCTTCTCTCCAGGTGAAATTTGGCTAGTTCTTAACCTGGAGCCTTGGAGTTTCATTCCTCACTGATACCCATCTTTCCTGCTCACAGCAGAGCATATTCTTCCCTTATAGATCTCATGAACAATTAGTTCATTGAGCGCAAGACTCCAAGCATCAGGGAGGATCTTCCCTCCTTGATGAGCTATGGACCAGCAGGAGGGAGGGATCAGAATGCTTGGTCCATGGAATGGTGGTGGGTCTTTCTAACATTTGACTTCCTTGTCTGCAGGATGCTGTCACAGGGGATTGCCGGTCAGCCCTTCTGGCCCTGTGCAGAGCTGAAGACATTTGAGGCGTCCCTTCCCCCGACCTCCATGTGACATTCAAGGATCTAAGATGCCCATGTTTGGCTAAGCCTGCAGGAGACCAGCTGGGCCTCTAAATAGGATGACCCTTCATGGTGCCCCAGATACCAAGTTTCTTGTTAAGGCTGAACTGTATCTTTTAAATCCCTAATTTCTTTAATTTCAAAATGGTATCTTTACCTGGGTCCTCTAGCTCTATCCTGGAAGAAGGGTAGTGGGATTTCTTTGATAGTTTCTATCCCACCCATCTTTCTCATACCCTGGCCAGAACATCTCTCTGGTACTCCAATTCTTTTTGGCAAACTTTACTGTTGTTTGTGTTCTCTGACTGAACTTCGGGTGGAGCAGGACACAGACCAGGAAGACGCCTTGGAGCTGAAGCACCTTTGAAGTGCACTTGGCTATTCAATGGGAATCCTGTTTTTGCCCCAGTGTTGCAGTTATCAACATGTTCCACCTACCACGTCTACCCTCACATTCATTATTCTCCCTACCCCAGGAAATTCAGGCAAATTAATTGAGGAACACGCATAAGAATGAGGTCAGAAATGGTTGGAGGTAGCAAAGGACCATCTGTGAGAAGTAGGAGGAAAGCAAAGAGTTAAACTGCCCTCCCAACCCTGGGAAGTCTTGGTAACTTCTCAGATTCCCAGCTCCAGTTCATCTGTCCAAGCAGGGATCTGGAAAACCAGGCCTTTCTCATGGAACACCTATGACGGTGTCAAAAGGAGGAGGAAAAAGGCAGGCTTGGATTCCCCCTGCTGGCTCTGTTAGAAACCACAGGCAGCAGCCTCCCTCTCCGCACCCGCTTTGCATTCCTCAATTGGGTCAAATACTTAACCCCATGGCTGCAGGGGAAGCCAAATAACATCTCAGGAAAGAATTTTATTTCCAAACCCCTAGGAAGGCATTACAAATAACAGATATAGAAACCCAAATCAAACCCTGAAGCAAAAGAAGACAGGCCTGCTGGGTAGGGAGGAGGGAGAGAGGTGCAGCCCAGATAGGCCCTCACCCTGAGTCGTGTGTTCATGTGATTTTTCCGGGAAAGGGAGTTAGGAATCAGACATCTGCACCGGGCCCATCCCAGTGTTGCCCTGGGAGGAAGAGAAGGCAGCAGCACATTACCGAGTTTGACCTTGGTATCTACCACTGCCTGGTCTGACCCCCAACAAAACAGTCCATAAATAAGCTACCCCATGTATCTCAGGGGTTGAGATGGGGGAGCAGCAACCTAACCACAGCCTCTTGAGAAACTGGGCAGCTCAGAAGAGCAGCGGGCAGAGCTATAGCAGAGTACAGTCCGACTCCTGCTTCGGCCTCTGTCGGCGCTCCCCGGCTGGGCGTCCTGACGTGGCTCCTCTCCCCTGTGCGGGATTTAACATTTGGTCATCCAACAACTTTGGAAGAGTAGAGGACTGACATTCAAGGGGTTAGGGGGTCGGGATCAGGAGGGACTATAGGGAGAGAAAAACAGGAAGGGGTTACAGGAAGAGGGTCCAGCAGGAGAAGGGTCCCAAGGGACACCTTGAAGAGACCAGAGCAGAAACAAAAGTGACCTGGACAAGGCACAGCGGGTGGTCTGGCCCCGCTAAGGGAAGGTGACAGAGGCTTACCTGGGGTGACAGGGCCCGCATCTGCGCAGGCTGGACTGGTTGCTGCTGTTGATACTCCTCTTGCTGAAGTTGCTGGGCCAGCTCCAGGTCACTAAGGCCCAGCATTCCTTGTGGCTGCTGCTGCTGTTGCAAGGACAAGGCCACCAGGTAATCCTAGAGAGAACAAGAGTTCCCAGGTGGGCAAAGGCTGGCAGGGAAGGAGACTCAGGCAAGGTTTCCAAACTAGGCTTTCCTTCAAATTCTCCAACTTCTCCCCCTCCAGGGGAAAACACACAGCCAGCTGTATCCCTGGTGCCAGAAAATGCAAACAAGGAGATGATCTGAAGGCAGCAGAGTGAAGGCGCAGGGGTGTTAGGGGTGTGGCCTTGACACAATAAATCACACGTGGCTCTCTTACAGCAAAAAACTCTGTGAGGCGAGGAGCTCTGGGCACCTTCCCCAAAGCCCACACACCTGGTCTACCTGCAGCTGCTTCTCTGGGGAGCTACCCCCACCTTGTGCTTCAGGGCCCTGGCCGAGGGAATGACTCAGGTGGAAGTCAGAGTCACAGAAGCAGCTGTCTCCGTCCACGTTGTGCAGGCTCTCCCATACCACTTGCTCCTCCTGGAGAAAACCCTGGTCAGTGACCAGTAGGTACAAATGACTCTGCAAAGAAAAGGACAGCCAACTGGTGAGATAAGTGACACAGAGGCAATTTACTTCCCAACATTACCTGAGATGCACAGACCACTTGAATTAAGTGATGTGCTGGCTGGAACTCCACAGTGTTAGCCTACGGAATACACGCACCCACAGTATGGAGAGGGAAGGGACGTCTGAGTGTATGTCCATGTGGAGTTGGGTGTAAGTATGGTGGTTATTTTGGTCAAGTGTAGAATGTAGCCAGTCTTCATTAGACATACACATAGTATGA